ATGCCTCAGGATGCTGCACTCAATGAGTTAGTTTGAAGTGTAGTCAATGTTGTATTTGGAGGCAAATGCGTCAGCTAATCTGCGTCTGCAAATTCCCACAAACAGCAAATTAGATATGTTACGTAAATACAACTACAAATTCACCAATGACATGGGCCACAATGCAGACTTAATATAAATACAGTATATAGAAAACTTATAAACCAATGATCCGGGCATTTGATACAGGACTCAGTGATTATAATAATAACAAGAAGATTACATGTGTATAGTGCCTTTCACGTCGGGAGGACGTCCCAAGGCACTGGATAGTGATAGCATTTCAGATCCAAGCTGGGATCAGGGGGGGAGAGGGGAGGAGAGGGGAAGGGGGGGTGGCCGATGGTGGCCGATGGCATGGTCGAAGAGGAGGGTTTTGAGGCGGGACTGGAAGACTAAGCCTTGAATTGACTATATTTTGTGGGCGAAACACCCGAAACACTTCCCGAGTAATTGGTGTCAAGTTTATTTATGGAAAAGTGAATTACAATTCCCCTGGGAGACACTGGGAGAAACTCTCTTATTATTTCCAATATCGCCAATGATATTTTCAATGTTCCTCTGGGCTGTCAGACAGGACATCAGTTTAACATCTATTCCAGGTCCCTCCATCATCGGAGAAGCTTAGTCTTTCCGGGATAGGGCTGCAGCCTCAGCCTTGACTGTGAACCAACTCCAGTCCTGCACCACAGACAAGTGACATCATCCTTGATGAGAGCGTTGACATCATGGCCTTAATGGAAACCTGGCTCACCCCAGGCGACACCTTCCCCCTCACGGAGGCCACACCACCCGGCTACACCTCCCACCACATCCCTCGCCCCAACCGCCGTGGCGGTGGTGTAGCCCTTATCTCAAGGACACCACTTGCCCTCTCCCCCTACTCCACTGGCTCTTTCCCCTCCTTTGAACACCTCACCCTCTCCCACCCCTCATTCCTCTCCCTTAAAATCCTCCTCCTCTACCGGCCCCCTAAAACCTCTCCCACCTTCATCTCTGATATTTCAACACTCCTCACATCTCTTTGCCTCTGCTCTGATCGCCTCATCATCCTGGGCGACTTTAACCTGCACTTCACCCCCTCCTGCTCCATCTCCACAGACTTCTCTTCCCTGCTCTCCTCACTCAACCTCTCCCTCCACATAAACTCCCCCACTCACAGTCACGGCCACCCACTCGATTTGGTGATCACCCGGGGCCTCAGTGTCTCGGATGTCACTATTACCGACAAGGCCATCTCTGACCACTACTTCATCTCCTTCACCACCTCCACCCCCCTCCCCACCTCCACCAGACCCACCACCATCTTCTACCGCCCTTGGAAGAAGTTACCCCCACAATCCCTAACCGATGCCTTGGAGTCCTCTGAACTCCTCTCCCTCTGGCCTTCAACCCTCACCGACCCCTCTTCTCCTCTCTCCCTCCTCCACAATACCCTCTCCTCCACACTCGATACTCTTGCCCCCATCACTTCCCGCACTGTCTCCTACTCCCGCTCCTCCCCCTGGTACACCACCCACCTCCGCTCACTGAAAAGCCAGGTGCGGGCCGCTGAACGCACCTGTGTCAAATCTGGCCTAACGGTCCACCGACAAATCTGGCTGGACCTCCTCAAAATTTACCGCTCCACTCTAGCCTCGGCCAAGTCGTCCTTCTACTCCAGGATAATCCTGGAGGCGAAGAACAACCCCAGGCTACTGTTTTCCACCACAACCCGACTCCTCCGTCCCCCCCGCCACCCCGCGCAGGTCATCTCCTCCAACCTTCACTGCGAGGAGATGCTGGATTTCCTTGAATCCAAGATCAAGGGAATTCGCTCCGCGGTCACTTCCCCTCCAACATCCACCAACCCCCCACCCCCTCCTCCCACAGTCCGACTCCTACCCATCCTCCCCTACACACCTTTGTACCCGTTTCCCCACCCTCTGTCACCAAACTCATCCTATCCCTAAAACCAACCACCTGCTCCCTTGACCCCATCCCCACTCCACTCCTTATCTCCCAGCTCCACTTTCTTGCCCCACATATCACCGACATCATCAACCTGTCCCTCTCCTCTGGCTCTGTCCCCATTCCCTTAAAAACTGCCACCATCACGCCCACCCTGAAAAAACCCTCCCTTGATGCGTCGCAGCTATCAAGCTACCGGCCCATCTCCAACCTCCCCTTTCTCTCCAAGGTCCTGGAAAGAGTTGTCGCCTCCCAACTGCGCTCTTTCCTTTCCACCCATTCACTTTTCGAACCCCTTCAGTCAGGTTTCCGTGCTGCCCATAGCACAGAAACTGCCCTGGTCAAGGTCACCAATGATATCCTGACCATCTGTGACCAGGGCTCCCTCTGTCTCCTCGTCCTCCTCGACCTATCGGCAGCATTCGATACGGTCGACCACGCTATCCTCCTCCACCGCTTGTCCTCCCACCTCAACCTTCAAGGCACTGTCCTTGAGTGGTTTAGGTCGTACCTCTCCCACCGTCTTCACTTTGTCTCGACAAATGGCTTCTCCTCCACCCCCCGCACTGTCTCATGTGGTGTCCCTCAGGGCTCTGTCCTCGGTCCCCTCCTCTTCACCCTCTATATGCTCCCCCTGTGGTGACATCATCCGCAGACATGGAGTTAACTTCCACATGTATGCGGATGACACCCAACTCTACCTTTCCTCCTCTACTCTCAACTCCACGACCACCGATGTCCTGACAGCTGTCTGTCCGACATCGAGTCCTGGACGAGAGACAACTTTCTTCAGCTCAACGTGCGAAAAACCGAGGCCCTCCTGATTGGCTCACGTCAGCGCCTCCGCACCTCAGGCGCTGACACCATCAGCATCCAAGGCCGCACTCTCCACCTCTCAAAGCCAGTCAGGAACCTCGGGCTTCTGTTCGACCCTGAGCTGTCCTTTCTCCCTCACATCCGCACCACAACTGGCACCGCCTTCCATCACCTCCGGAACATCGCCAGACTACGGCACTACCTCACCCCTCACGCGGCTGAAACTCTGGTCCACACCTTTGTCACCTCAAGGCTGGACTATGGGAACTCTCTCCTCGTCGGCCTTCCCGGCCCTCCCTCCACACTGCAGGTCATTCAGAACTCTGCAGCTCGTGTACTGTCCCGCACCAGACACCGCGACCACATCACTCCCACCCTCGCCCTCACCCTCACCCTCGCCCTCGCCCTCACCCTCGCCCTCACCCTCGCCCTCACCCTCGCCCTCGCTCGCCTCCACTGGCTCCCCATCCCCCAGAGGATTGATTTCAAGATCCTCATCCTCACCTATAAGGCCATTCACGGCCTCACTCCCTCCTACCTCTCCGACCTACTATCCCCCTACCTACCTGCCCGTACCCTCCGTTCCTCCGGCTCCGGTCTGCTCCACGTCCCCCGCCCCAACCGCCCGACCATCGGTGGCCTTCAGCCTCTCAGCCCCGAGGCTCTGGAACTCCATCCCCAGTGCCTTCGCCGCTTCCTCCCTTTCCTCCTTCAGGGCCGGTCTCAAGACCTTTCTCTTTGACCTTCAGCCTTCAGCTCCACTCTCGACTCTCTTCCCCCTCCTCGCTCCCTCCCTTCCCTCCCCTCACCCTGACCATTTCCCCCCTCCTCGCTCCCTCCCTTCCCTCCCCTCACCCTGACCATTTCCCCCCTCCTCGCTCCCTCCCTTCCCTCCTCTCACCCTGACCATTTCCCCCCTCCTCGCCCCCTCCCTTCCCTCCCCTCACCATTTCCCCCCTCCTCGCTCCCTCCCTTCCCTCCCCTCACCCTAACCATTTGCCCCCTCCTCACTCCCTCCCTTCCCTCCCCTCACCCTGATCATTTCCCCCCAATGCTCGGGTCCCGACCCAACTGTGCAGAGCCTCGGGACGTCCTCCTGACGTGAAAGGCGCTTTATAAATGGAATCTTGTTGTTGTTGTTGTTGTTGTTGTGGGTGGATGAGTGAGTGAGTGTGTGAATGTGTGTGACTGAGTGTTTATGTGAGTGTGTGTGGGTGTGTGTGAGTGTGAGGGGGGCGGGGCTCAGGGACGGAGCTGAGGGGCGGGGCTGAAGGGGCGGGGCTGAGGGCTGAAGGGCGGGGCTGAAGGCTGAGGGCGGGGCTGGAGGCGGGGCTGAGGGGCGGGGCTGAGGGCTGAAGGGCGGGGCTGAAGGCTAAGGGGCGGGGCTGGAGGGCGGGGCTGAGGGGCGGGGCTGGAGGGCGGGGCTGAGGGGAGGGGCTGAGGGGGAGGGGCTCAGGGCTCAGGTGCGGAGTTTGCGGAAGTGATAGTGATACAAACGGAAAGTTAACGGCAAACACTGAAACACAGTGACTTTTATCAAACTTTACCCTCTCCCTCTCTGTCTCCCTCTGGCACAGGTCCTGGTGAGTGTGAGTGATTGAGAGAGTGTGAGTGAGTGTGTAAGTGAGTGTGTGAGAGTGAGTGTGTAAGTGAGTGTGTGAGTGTGAGAGAGTGAGTGTGAGTGAGTGTGTAAGTGAGTGTGAGTGAGTGAGTGTGTAAGTGTGAGTGAGAGAGTGTGAGTGAGTGTGTAAGTGTGAGTGAGAGAGTGTGAGTGAGAGAGTGTGAGAGAGTGTGAGTGAGAGAGTGTGAGAGAGTGTGAGTGAGAGAGTGTGAGTGTGAGAGTGAGTGAGTGTGAGAGTGAGTGTGAGTGTGTAAGTGAGTGTGTGAGTGAGTGAGTGTGAGAGAGTGAGTGTGAGAGAGTGAGTGTGAGTGAGTGAGTGAGTGTGAGAGAGTGAGTGTGAGAGAGTGAGTGAGTGTGAGTGAGTGTGAGTGAGTGAGTGTGAGTGAGTGTGAGTGTGAGAGAGTGAGTGAGAGTGAGTGTGAGTGAGTGTGAGTGAGTGAGTGAGTGTGAGTGAGTGAGTGAGTGTGAGAGAGTGAGTGAGTGAGTGAGTGAGAGTGAGTGTGAGTGAGTGTGAGTGAGTGTGAGAGAGTGAGTGAGTGAGTGAGTGAGTGTGAGAGAGTGAGTGTGAGTGAGTGAGTGAGTGTGTGAGTGTGAGAGTGAGTGTGAGCAGTATGGGGCAGCCCTGGGCTCCTGCAGTCACCAGCACAGGGCAGCGCCACAGCCTCCGAGGATGAGTGTGAAGAAGCCGTTCCCGAACTCCGCGGCGATTCGCAATGAGATTCAGCGCTTCGAGAATGTCCAACCGAACGTCTACAACATCTACAGATTACTGGACCGCGTCTCGGACCCGACACTCCGGACCACCATCAGGGACATGGTCACTCGCATCGAGGGTGAGTGGGTCAGTGTCTGTCTGTCTGTGTGTCTGTCTGTGTGTGTGTCTGTCTGTGTGTGTGTCTGTCTGTGTGTGTGTCTGTCTGTGTGTGTGTCTGTCTGTCTGTGTGTCTGTCTGTGTGTCTGTCTGTGTGTCTGTCTGTGTGTCTGTCTGTGTGTCTGTGTGTCTGTGTGTGTGTCTGTCTGTGTGTCTGTGTGTCTGTATGTCTGTCTGTCTGTCTGTGTGTCTGTCTGTGTGTCTGTGTGTCTGTCTGTCTGTGTGTCTGTCTGTCTGTGTGTCTGTCTGTCTGTCTGTGTGTCTGTCTGTGTGTCTGTCTGTGTGTCTGTCTGTGTGTCTGTCTGTGTGTCTGTCTGTGTGTGTCTGTGTGTCTGTGTGTCTGTGTGTCTGTCTGTCTGTCTGTCTGTCTGTCTGTCTGTGTGTCTGTCTGTCTGTGTGTCTGTCTGTCTGTGTGTCTGTCTGTCTGTGTGTCTGTGTGTCTGTCTGTGTGTCTGTCTGTGTGTCTGTCTGTCTGTGTGTCTGTCTGTGTGTCTGTCTGTGTGTCTGTGTGTCTGTCTGTCTGTCTGTGTGTCTGTCTGTGTGTCTGTGTGTCTGTCTGTCTGTCTGTCTGTCTGTGTGTCTGTCTGTCTGTCTGTGTGTCTGTCTGTGTGTCTGTGTGTCTGTCTGTCTGCCCCCAGTCCGGTGGCCATAACTCGAGCCTTCAAACCACCTGATGATGATCATTCCTCGGGGTTTTACATTCAAATAATATTTCCACCATAAAACTACTGCCTGACCAGCAGTTGGCTGTTTGCTCAGCAATTTGGGGTTTCGAATCGCCTCCGGAGTTTTTTTAATGAATTAAGAGTGTTTGGTGTCTGTGTTGGTCTGAGCCCTGCGGTGGGTTTGTTTTATACTGAACCCCAGGACGGACACCTTGTGGCCGCCAGTTAACGGCGAGTTTAGATTTCTTAGGCGATTCCAACTGTAAAACCAACTTCACAGACAGTCTAATAATCATAATAATAATAATAATAATCTTTGCATTTGACACAGCGCCTTATCACGTCTTTGAGACGTCTCAAAGCGCCTCACAGGATATACTGTAAAGTGGAGTGACTGTGTATTTTGCAGGCGAAATGCGATAGCCGATTGCGAGCAGCAGTTTTCCGCACATGGTGAATGAACATGTCATTGTCGGTCCCACTCAGGCACTGATACAACTTCAAAAAATAAAGGCCTTTCGTAGCATTTAGAGATTAGACAAGTTTCTGTCATTTCAGCCCTTCCCCCGGTCCCACCAAAGCGCAGGAATCTGTAACTCACGTACAGTGCTCTATTTGGTTACATTTGAATAGCTTTGTGCTGTAGTTTTGTTTATAGTTTAAAGGCTTGCGTGCGTGTTCAGTTTGTGTAAATAGAAGTTTATGCTTTGTGTTTCTATTTGAAATTGAAGTGAATTGATCGCTGGTCTCTCGTCATTTGCCTGAAATGGGAAATTCATCCATTTTGTGTCACGGCCACTTTTGATTTATTCACACAATTAATCCAACATGAAGTCAGAGAATCATTTCCTTTGGAAACCGTCAAGATCAAACACCAGTAACGTTTCAGCCAGAGATGGGTGCTGGGCGATGTTTGGTGGTTTTTGTCCTCTTGAGAAACATCCTTCCAACCCGCATGTTTTAACCATTGCTCTGACATTAAATAAACAAGATAGTTTTAAGGGAGAATTAAATAGCAAAGTTTGTTGTGTGAGGTATGAGTCTAAGAGCTAAAAGTGAGATGATTCACCCAAAGGGAGGTGAGAAGGTGGGATTCACTGCCCTTGAAGGTAATCTGGGAGAATCAACTGGGATGCTAGAAAATAATGATAATCTTTGCATTTGGTGGTGATGCCTTTCACATTGTGACGACATTTTAAAACGTTTCACAGGATGTACCATAAAATGTAGTGACTGTATGTTTTGTTTTGCCCTTTTGGAGGCAAACGATTTGCATAGAGCAGTGCCCCACAAACAGCACGGGAGTGACCAATGTTTATTTGATGAATTGTTGGCCAAGACACCAGAGAGACTTTTCCAATAGTTTTCATAATGTGAGTCACATTGTTGAGGACCTGCCCTGCATGACTGAGGGGAGAGCTGGATGCTGACAAACACCTCCCCCACCAAAAAAAAATGGAAACCGAGCATGTCACTGTGATCAGCTCAAAAAAACAATTAAGTAAATGTTTAACATTTTGAAAAGACCATTCTGTTTAAAACGTGTCTTCATTAATATGGAAAACAGAGAGGCTTTATGGTTATTTGTGACAAACTTACTAAACTCTTTGCTAGGCAGCAAATGTTGTGAAACAAACAGTAATTTTCTCTGGCTTTTTGTGGCCATTCCAATAATCTCTTGTTGATGGTGTAACCGGCTGAAGTGACTGGGGTTTACGGTAGAGCAAAGGCTGGCTCTCGCTGTGCTGGTGATTACGGTGAGAGAAGCTTCCATAAAGATGCATGTTTGAGACAACCTGTGATGGGTCTGGTACAAGGCGGATATGATCAGTGGGTGGAGGCAGGAAGAGCAGGCGGTTACATTTTAAAATACATGGTTTTGTGGTTCACACAGGTTTCTTTTGCTAAAGATCAACTTGATCGGGTGGGGGGAGAGAGACTAGAAAAAACATGCATTAATTAGAGTTTTCCCCAACTTTCAGGGTGAGTAAATCTGCAGAAGTTTGAACACAAATAATTTGTTTGGGGTAAAATACAATACGAAATGGCATTTGTAAAGCGCCTTTCATGTCAGGACAATAAGGGGTCACTCCTGGGGGGGCTGATAGGTGTAAGTTTAGCATCACTTCCTATAGATGTCTGAAGTGTTAAAACTGTGTTCACATGAAGACTGAAAGGTGCCCAGTGGGGCAACGCTGGGTTTCCCCCTGTGTTTGGAGAGTATTTTGAGCCATATGCCATTAGGGCGCAGTGCTGGTGCCGAGGTAATGAATAACAACAACAACTTGCATTAAGTTGCACCCTTCATGCGTGGTAGCGTCCAGGAGCACTTAAATACAATTTACAATACGGGGTTTACAGAATACAGAGGGTCACACGAGAAACCTATTGTAACAACACCACAAAGCCAACTGACAGGACAGATCCTTGGCAGCTCAACCACACACTCAGTGAACCTCTGGGAAGGTTTTGATGAGACTCGATTTCAACCCTGAAAGTTCTTTTATTTCTGCAAAGTTCCTGTGTGCCCACGACTCTGAGTTGATGAGAAGTTCTGTGTGTGCTGCGTAACATTGTTGTCTGTATAGTGCAGGTGTGTGCCTGTGTGCAGGTGTGTGCCTGTGTGCAGGTGTGTGCCTGTGTGCAGGTGTGTGCCTGTGTGCAGGTGTGTGCCTGTGTGCAGGTGTGTGCCTGTGTGCAGGTGTGTGCCTGTGTGCAGGTGTGTGCCTGTGTGCAGGTGTGTGCCTGTGTGCAGGTGTGTGCCTGTGTGCAGGTGTAGACCGGGGTGTGCCTGTGTGCAGGTGTGTGCCTGTGTGCAGGTGTAGACCGGGGTGTGCCTGTGTGCAGGTGTGTGCCTGTGTGCAGGTGTGTGCCTGTGTGCAGGTGTAGGCCGGGGTGTGCCTGTGTGCGGTGTGTGTGTCTGTGTGTGGTGTGTGTCTGTGGGCGATGTCTGACTGTGTGTGACTGAGTCCAGTTGACTGTGTGTCTGTGTGCGGTGTGGCTGTGCTGTGTGTGTGCGGCGCATGTCTGTGTGTGTGTGTATTTATGTCTGTGTGAATATATGTGTGTGTGCTGTGAGCCGTGTGCTGTGTGACTGCTGACTGCATGTCTGCATGTGGCGTGTCTGTGTACTGTGTATTGTGTGACTGTCCTGTGTGACTGACTGTGTGCTGTGTGTGTGACTCTGTGCTGTTATGTGCTTTTGCCAACAGGAACATTTAACTTCAACCAGGATCCTCCTGACCCAGCCCATGCTCACACTGGCTTGTGGCCAATGTATAAGCAGCCAGAGTGTGTGAGTGAGTGTGTATGTGTGTGAATGAGTGTGTGTGTATATGAGTGTGTGTATATGTGTGTGTGTGTGTAAGTGAGTGTGTGTATGAGTATGTGTGTATATGTATATGTGTGTGAATATGTGTGTGTGTGAGTGAGTTAGTCCTTTCTCTCTCGCCATTCCCCTTTGAACCCTTCCAATCCGGCTTCCACACTGCCCACAGCAGGGAAACGGCCCTGGTCACAGTCACTAATGACATTCTGACCATCTGTGATCAGGGCTCCCTCTGCCTCTCTGTCCTCCTCGACCTCTCTGCCGCCTTCGACACTGTCGACCACTCCATCCTCATACACCGCCTCTCCTCCTCACTCAATCTTCGCGGACCTGCCCCTTGTCTGGTTCGATTCCTATCTCTCTCACCGTCTCCACTTTGTTGCCTCTAACGGTTTCTCCTCCAGTCCCCGCACTGTCATGTCTGGCGTCCCCCAGGGCTCTGTCCTTCTCTCCTCTTTAATATCTACATGGTCCCCCTCGGTGACATCATCCGCAGACATGGGGTCAACTTCCACATATATGGGGATAACACCCAACTCTATCTTTCTGCCCCCACCCTCAACTCCAGGGCCACTGCAGTCCTGACAGACTGTCTGTCTGCCCCCACCCTCAACTCCAGGACCACTGCTGTCCTGACAGACTGTCTGTCGGATACCAAGTCCTGGATGAGGGCAAACTTCCTACAGTTGAATGTAAACAAGACTGAGGCCCTCCTGATTGACTCGCGCCAACACCTCCGCACCTCAGGCTCCGGCAGCATCACCCTCCATGGTTGCCCACCACAACTCACCAACTCACCGCCAGTCAGGAACCTGGGGGTCTTGTTCGATTCTCAACTGTCTTTTCTCCCTCACATTCAACCCATGACCCTCTCTGCCTTCCCTCACCCCTCATCGCCCGCCTCTGCCACTACCTCACCCCTCAGGCGCTGAAACTCTTGTTCACGCCTTCATCACCTCCAGACTCGAC